CGGGGAGGAAAGAGTTTGTCAACTTACATTAGCTATCGTAATTTTGGATCATTTCGTCGAGCTGATATAAACAGCAGATCGCCTTTACGGTATTTTGTCCCGTCTACGTTAATTGCCTTGCAGACCAGGCTGCTTCTGTTCCATCTAGGAAATACTATGGTTCCACGTTGCTTGATTAAATTTATCTGCTAATACTATGAAAAATCACCTCCTCTATCTATTATTTTTTTCCGATGAGGGTAAATGCGTCATGCGTGTCTGAGAACGAAGTTTCGTAACTTCAAACATATATGCTAAGTAGTTGCCTGCGCGGTGGTTCATTCGTGTGAACTGCGAGTGGTTTGTGCAACCACTTATGCCCGAAGGGTTCCCGTGTGCTTTTCAGTATGCGATGGTCTGATAAATATGAAGAAAACAATTTCGCAGATAACTGAATTCGGGACTGAAATGTGAAAATAAATAACTAATTATACTACGGCCTGACATTTCAATAAGCCTTCACAGTTAAGCCTCAGAAGCTGAGTTTCTTCGAATAAAATCCTTATTACAGTTTCAAGAGTTAGTGAGGTTCGGTGAATCGGATTCATTCACCTAACCTCGAGTTGGTGTCATCATCTTGCAGTCTCATTTGAAACAACTCACGCCCTTTCGAAACGCTCCGCCCTACAGTACTTCGGTTTTATTTTCATACTGCTTCTATTCTGTATTTTAGAAGATGTGACTTAAGTTCGGTGAGGATTCCTATGAAAGCAATCAAGAAATCAAGTTTTGTGAACATACGTTTTTGATCATTTGATCATGCGTCTTCACACCTACTACGTAGCGTTAAGTCCACGACGCGGCGACATAAACTAACTGTCAGACCCCCTCCCCATTCCCCGTTCCTCCTATCTGACCCGGTCATATGAGTAGGATCTGATCCATTAACCTCTGAAACCCTCCCTCTTACTTTCTGTTGATTGGATACTTAAACTTTCGCAGCTCTACTCTCCCGATGAATAATCGAAAACGCACGTTCGTCAAACTTGAGTCTTTTTGTCTTTACTCATGAAACTAAATGGAGGAAAATGATATCTTTAACTTTCGGCACCGAAAGCGGCATTCATTTAGTTTATTCAGTAGACTGATTTCAGAAATTGTCTTTTGTTTCATGCAGATTGTTTCTACGCAAGTCGTACCGGTCAATAAATTTTTTTAAATGGGAGGCAAACCGATGTTTCACTATATCATGGCCTTTTTCTTTGACTTCGTGCTTACCGTGATCAGATACAATTAAAATTGTAAGGAAGAAAACACGATCTCTGGAAAGGCAATTTCTATTGTTCTAAACTTTCGGCCTCCCACCAGAGGCCATCGTCAGGGAAATTGAGAAGGCGGCAAGCGTTGGCTACGCGTACATAAGGGTGTTAAAGGGTAGCATTTGTGCTTGTTTCATGCTCACGCCCTGTCATCGTGTCTCCCCTGCGCGCGTCCATAGCGTTATAGCGTGCAACCTTGGCACCGTGTCTTGCGTCTTTGGTGTGGCAACCTGCGTG